ATATATATATATATATACATACTAACTACATATAACCTATATACTATATATAGTAGCACTCCCTTTTTTTCATATTTGTGTATTCTGCTTCTTTCCACCCCCCCGGATTATTAAAGTAAGTAAGTAAGTAAGTAAGTAAGTAAGTAAGTAATTAAGTAAGTGAGTGAGTGAGTGAGTGAGTGAGTGAGTGAGTGAGTCTGTCTGTCTGTCTGTCTGTCTGTCTGTCTAGACATTATTCGATTAAATGTTTAAAACCATTCATTTTTAGCTGTTTGTACTTATATGATTTTACTTTTGTTTTGATTATCATGTGTGTTGCTAGTATCCTTATTTTGATTTTTATTGCATTGTGTGTACGGCAGTTTGGGATTGCAAAGGTTGTTAATATGCTATATAAAGAAGTTTGATCTTTGACCTATAAATGTAATGTATTCTCTTGAACCATTAAGTACCTGGTAGATTTTGTACAAGTTGCACAACTTCAGTCTTTCTTCATGGTCTGATGAAGAGCAAGGGCCAAAAAAGTTGTAAGTGTAAATTCATCTTGTCCTGAAGTCTTACTTGAGTACTTTATATGTTTTTGGAATTTACTTTGAAGGTTACTGCAGTATCACAAACAACGTACATTCTGTTTTACATTTATAAAACTTTTTTTAGTGTACAGGTTTAAAAAATTTCAACAATGTTTATTTTCTTCAACTAATCTGAATATTCAATAAATCACACATATTAAATGACTAGTAATGTTGTTATGTACCTTCAAATGTCATGTTCCACATGTGTGAGGTGATCTCAGTGCCATTCTTCTTGTTGTATCCATCCTTCATGGCCTCATGTAACGCAACAGCGTACAACAACATGGCATCATGGAATCCCTCAACAAACATGTTTACCTAATATGAAAAAAAAAATCATAATATTGAAAAAGAAATTATGTTTGCTGAAGATAAGTTAACTTACATTACTTTGTATTCTGAAGAAATAATTAGAGGGATGAAAACACAGTACAGCTGCTGTTTCTCTAATCCACACAGTCAAAGCTAAACATACAGGATCAAATATACCGTACACATGCAGTGTCTATATAAGTGTCCAGCCCCTTGGATGTTTTATGCTGGAGCGGCTGTGTCTGAGTGGTTAGAGCAGTCGTCCTCCAATGCAAGAATTGGGGGTTCGAATCCACCAGCAGTCACATGCTGAAGTGTCCCTGGGCAAGACAATGAACCCCTCATAGCCTATGATGTGTGTCCCATCAGTGTATGAATGTGATAAAGCTCTGATTAGTCTCATTAGAATGATTTTTTCAACTAGCTTTGTAGAGATCTAGTAGAGTGCTGTGTGGATGGTAAATTAGGACACAGACTGTAGAGTAAAGCACTTTGAGTATCTTGAAATAAGATAGAAAGACGCTATATAAGTACAGTCCATTTACCATTTATGCTTTTATTGCTGTCATAAATCAATCATGGATATAAATTGACCTTTGTGACCCCACAAAAAACTCAATGTCAAAGTAAAATTCAATTTCTGAGTACAATAGTCCCTTGCTACTTCATGGATTGACTTTCGCGTACTCACTCTATCGTGGTTTGTGTCATACAGTATTGTACATAATTTAAAAAATATATATAATTTTTAAAAATTAAAACGTGCTGCCATTTTTTTGTTTTCTTTCATTTAGCCTTCACTGTTTGCCATTCTAAAGAACTACGTTACCCAGAAGTCATCAGTTCACTTCCCAGAAGTCAGCCCTGCTTCCAAATGCTGTTTGCTGCAAATGGAGGGAAAGTTCTATTTCGTATAGGCTTTGCCCTTTAAGAGCTGTCGCTGGTGGGTTTATCCCGTCATGCAAAGCATCGCACTGAAAAAATTTGCCCACGCCCACCTGTTGTGTGGGCCCCACCCGGTCCGTATAAATTACATTAAGAGCGGGTAATCGGCTCCCATTTTTCTTCAGCAAGCTAATAGCACTGTCAGAAGAACGAAGAAGGAGAGTTGTCCAGCTTGACCTTTGTTGGGGCTGCCTGGGTTCCCGCCGCGCCAGCCTCATGTCGTCCCAGTGAGTTCTCCTCCCCGAGGAGAAGCAGACGAGCAGCCTTGTTCAAGGTAAGCGCCGAGGAATATTTTTCAGTGGCAGGTCGCTACCCGCTGGACGACGCCATCAACCCTTTTTTCTTTTTAACGCCGACTCTCGGAGTGAATCAGATGGTTCCTCCGGGACAGGCGACGTCAGCAGCAGCCCCCACTGCTCACTCCCTCCTGGAGAGTGTAGTGGCGGAACGAGGGGGGCTGAGCGGATGCTCAACCCCCCCCCCGGACCTTTTCGCATCGGCGACAACACCGCTCCCAGATGTCGGTGCCTTCCTCTCGGAGCTGCCTGGCATAATCCACGAGGCGGCTGACATGAAGGGACTTTTTCCGTCCCTCTTCTTCCCCCGCCCAGATCGGATGATCTAGCGGGAAGGTTTTTGGCTCCACCCCGGCTCACCATCCTGATCCCATCTGGCCGGAGGGACAGACCTGCCTCAGGAGACTAAGAGCTCCCTCTGCAAGGCGTCTGACGTCACCCTCAACCTGTGCGCCTCATCTGCTGTCTGCCTGTCTTGCATCGCAGCCTGGATGACAATGGTTCAGAGGTCCACCTGGCTTGTCACTCCCCCTCCCTGTCGGAGAAGCTGCAGATGAACTCGCTGGAAGACCCCATCACGACGGACGCGCTGTTCTGAGCCAATTTTCAAGGACATGCTCGAGAAATCGAAGAAGCCGGAGGAGGTGTCAGAGACTGTGCGCCATCTGATCAAACCGCACCCCTCCTCTTGCGTCAGCAGACCAAGTCCAGTGAGAAACCTCGCTCTCAGCCCAAGCTGTGCGCTGCCTCCTCAGCGCACGCCAGCTCACATCAGCACGGATGTGAGCCCACAGCCTGAGCGCGGCACAGAAGCGCCGCGTCCCCATGGCAACGACAGCCCTCACCTTCATGGTTCCGCATGCCCAGGGGGCGCGTGCGCCTCCCCTCACCGCACGCCAGCCCACATCAGCACGGATGTGAGTCCACAGCCTGAGCGTGGCACACATGACGGCAGTGATTGGCATCCATAAGTAACATGAGGCAGCATAAATGCGTGCCCGCTTCCCAAACGTTACGCGGAGTGGCAGTGAGCGTGCGCTCTAGACAGATGGATGAACCGTTTTATCAGCAGGGGATACATGCTGCAGTTTACAGCTCAAACCCCTCGTTTGGAGGAACTTAAGAGACGTTTCTGTCACCTCCAGAACAGATCTCGTTCCTCCACGCAGAAGTTTCAGGAAATTCTGATAAAAAATGCAATTTCCAGGGTTCCAGAAGGAGAGGAAAACACTCTCGTCACTTCCTGGTCCCAAAATGGACCGGAGGGATGAGACCCATCTTAGATTTGTCAATTTTCAACTGTGAGACAACATTCCATTCAAAATGCATCGAGTCAGCTCTGCAGCCGCTACACAGAGCAGGGAGGAGAATTCTGTTTTATCTGGACGATCTTTTGCTGCTGACCCCTTTTTACAGACAGGTGGCAGCAGTGCCACTCACATGATACCGGCAGAGTGATAACAGCTGTTTCCGTCATGAAGTTGTTAAGGACATGTCGTCTGCTTACACGGTGCGACGCCTCCAGAGTTGGTTCGCTCGTTTGCGTGTGGACCCAGTGAGGCAGAAGAGACGGTTGATCGCTGTGCCCCCCCTCCGTGAGAATCAACCTGAGACACTGGGAAACCCTCTTGTTCTGGCGGAGGGAGTTCCCATCAGCAGACCTACGTCATACGTCAGTCTTCACAGACGCGTCCCTGTCAGGTTGGGAAGGCACATGCATGTCTCGAGCTGTGGGGGCGCTGTGGCCACCCCACACAGCAGCTCATATAAATGTTTTTGGAGTGTCGTACGGTTTTGAATGTGATTCAACACTTTGCCTCTGTGCTGCGGAATCAAATGTGTTGATTCACACAGACAACAAGGTGACTGCTGCATACATAAACCGGCAGGGGTGTGTGCGCTCAGCCCAAATGTTACACATTGTGAGACAGCTGCTGTGTTGGGCACACCAAAATCTGCTCTCCATCAGAGCAGTGTACATCCCCAGTGTCCTGAACAGGGGGTCGGATGTGATGTCCAGGGGCGGTCCGCGTCACGGGGACTGGACCCTCCATCCAGACCTGATGGCTCAGACGTGGCAGAAATTTGGCAGAGCTGCCGTGGACCTGCTTGCAACACGAGAGAATGCTCAGTGTCAACTATGGTTCTCACTGAGCCGGCAAGACGAACCACCGCTAGCGGTGGACACGTTTGCTCACAGCCAGTGCCCCAAAATGCTTCTTTACGCATTTCCCCCACTCCCTCTGATATCACGGTTTCTGAACCGAGTTCAGGAGGATGGACTGACAGCTCTCCTGATGGCTCCTGAGTGCGTGAACGCCCCATGGTTCCCAGTTCTACGACACCTGTTATCGGGGCGCCCGTGGAAACTGCAGTGGAGGGAAGATGCTCTCCGCCAGGCGGGAGGAGTGATCAGGAGTTACCCAGAATAGGCCAGCACCTTTGGGTCTGGCCGCTGAGTGGATCCGCTTAGAGAAGATCGGTCTCTCTCAAGATGTAGTGCGTACGATCCAGGATTCACGTGCTGCATCTACCACAGCGCTGTACACATCAAAGTGGACAGCTTTTCAGCGCTGGTGTACGGAGAAAGGTGTAGAGGCCACCTCATGTCCACTAGGTGGTGTGCTGTCCTTTCTGCAGCAGCTGATGGACAGAAATCTGGCATTCAGCACGTTTAAAATGTACGCTGCAGCCATCTTTTCTTGTTACGAAGGTTTCGGGGACAGAACAGCTTTTAATCATCTGCTGATGAAGCGTTTTTTTAAAAGGTGTACAGAGACGCAGGCCTGTTTCACGCCCACTTGTTCCACAGTGGGATTTAACGCTAGTTCTGCAAGCCCTGATCAAAGCTCCATTCGAGCAACTAGATCAGGTTCAGATTAAATTCTTGTCTCTTAAAACAGCCCTGCTGTTGGCTTTAACATCCATTAAGAAGGTGAGTGATTTATCTGCCCTCTCTGTCTCTCCGTCATGTCTCAGAATTCAGACTGATGGCAGCTCAACTGATCTGAGGCCTAATCCAGCGTTTATGCCTAAAAATATTGCGTGCTCTTTTAAATCAAGAGTGATATTGTTGGAGGGATTTTTCCCTCCTCCCCACAATCAGAAGAAAAAGCATCTTTCCATCTTCTCTGCCCTGTACGTGCGTTGACGTGTTACGTAACATGCACGGTGGCATTGCGTCAGACTCAACATTTGTTTGTGCACTATAGAGACGCATCTGCAGGTCGCCCATTATCCACCCAGCGCCTGTCACACTGGCTGTGTGAGGCCATTTCTGAAGCCTACAGAGCATCAGATTTAGAGCCTCCTGACAACCTCAGGGCGCACTCGACCACAGGTATCGCATCTTCGACTGCTTTGCATAATGTTATGTCAATGCAGGATATTTGCACTGCGGCCGTGTGGTCAACACCCTGTTCATTTATTCACTTTTATTTATGTGATGTGTCGGCTCGTTCCATGACACATTCTGTCCTTAGTGCCTTAACAGAATGAATATTGTTGTTTCATGGAATCTCGTTTAAACTCACATCTGACTGCATGCATTTACAGTGTGAGATGTTGTTATCAGTCACAGGTTATGACTGTTGTTCTTGTTCTATGGTTATTAATCAGTTCATGACTTCTGTCATCAATCAGTTCATCTGATTAATAATCAGTTCATTTATTATTAATATGTCCATACTGTATTGAAGAGCCGTGGATCTGCTTTGTTCATTGCCTTTTTCAGCCTCTCCTCTTTTCTGTTGAAAACCTTTCTGGGGCATTCATACACTCAGAACGCGTAAATTACGCTATGCGCGTCTTTGCATGGTGCGCGTAATTACGCAATGCGTATTTACGCACATGGAGAGCTGAGTGACAAGATGTTTTTTGAGCAAGCGGGCGCTTCTTATGGTGTTCGGATGGACCCAGTGAGACGGAGACTACATCTGCTTCGCCCTTAACCCACCAGCAACAGCTCTTAAAGGGCGAAGCCTATACAAAATAGAACGTTGGTTAAGTACTGTAACCCCAGATTCTATGAGTATAGGCATCGCCCTTTAAGCGTCGGGCCTCACTGGCTCCTAAATGGCTGAAGAAAAAGCTATTTGGGAGCCGATTACCCGCTCTTAACGTAATTTATACGGACCAGGTGGGGCCCACACAGGTGGGCGTGGACTAATTTTTTCAGTGCGATGCTTTGCATGACGGGATAAACCCACCAGCGACAGCTCTTAAAGGGCTACGCCTATACTCATAGAATCTGGGGTTACAGTACGTAACCAACGTTTTGTGACACAAAGTCAGAAGTTCTTTAAGTTCTGTTGCTCACAGGACTGGTAGGAAAGTTGCAAATAGTTCTGAAGCTGAACTCATCCTTCAAGTTGTATCTTCACAGCTGGGCTGCAATTGACCTGGACTCAGTGTGACCTGGATCCTGGGAACTGCAGGCGACAGATAGCTGTGGGGTTCAGACTAGTTCTGATCGTGTGGTTCTGGTCCGGACCAAACCAGAGGTGGTGGCCCTAAATCCTGGGCAGTCTTGCTCCTGGAGCAGCAGCTCATGCACATCAAACTGGATTAAGCTTCATCATGCTGCACCAGGACTTTTTTCATCTATCGAGTTGGACCAGAACAAAGCCGCTGCTGTTCTGCAGAGCCCTTGTAAGTAAAATTTAGTAGCTATATATGCTTATACGTAGCTTGTAGTTAAAATTAGTAGGTTTAAGAGTATAGAGGACTGATTTGTGGGCTTCATCGCTGCAGGATAGGTCTGCAAAAATGAACCGAGTCAGAATAGAACAGAGTTGGCCCGGAACCAGAGCTGTTGCTGTTCTACAGAGTTAGTAAGTAAAATTTAGTAATGCACTGTATGTTGTTGAAATGACATAGGTTTAAGAGTTTAGAACATTGCAAGTGTGTGGGAAGAGTTTCTAAAGCCTTAATATAAAGTTTATTGTATTTGAACTTGAACTTGGACTACTGTGTCCCTACTTCATGGTTTTTCACTTATCGCGGGGCTTCAGGGTACGGCTCCTCTGCGATAAACAAAGGACTACTTTAACGTAAATTAAATACAAATACGTACTGTAAAATAAAGGATTGCATAAATATTCACCCCATTTAAAGAAACTGTAATTCAACTCAGAGGAAAGATTATTGAAAAGTCCAAGTCAGGGCATGGCATCCAACATAAAAGGATTTCCAAAGCCCTAAACATCCATCCATCTATTTCCTTTATAGATTTCCATGCAGGGAAACAATCACTGTGTCAAAGGCAAAGTACATTCAGGACAGAATGTGACTCCATCACAGGTACATAGGTCAGGGATTTTTGGTCAAGGTTTATGGATGTTTTTAACTAGTATGGCTGAAAATGTTAACTGCCCATGAAGCATGTGATTGAGTAGCCAGAGAGTTATTGTCTCTCTCGGAGAGAGCTGAATGAGGAGCTGATTTGATCCTGCATCTGCAGCTAGATGTCCAAGGTCATCAGTGTCTGTCTCTAAGCCGAGAGCTAATAAGCGTATAAATAACAATTCTCACACGCTGCCCGGTGCAGATTCTCGTGATTGGGCTCCATGCATGTATAACTTTTATACATCTGTGTAATCTGTGGTGAAAGTCTGCCCTTGCAAGTAAAACAGGTTAAAAATCTTCTCCTGCTGTCGAGTGTAGCTTCTTTGAATAAGTAAGAGGAATAGAGGATATTTTTATCCAACATTTCGATCCTTCGAGTGCTGGCCCCAACATCTAACCTCAAACCTCCAGGCTTGGATCTGAACCATGCACGGAGGAGATTTACTCTCCTCCGTGCATGGTTACTCTCCTCCGAATTTTAGTGAGGCCAGATTGCTTTTGGTTCAAGGGGTGACGGGTGTCAACTAGAGTGGAGCTGCACATAGGAGGTGAGAAGATTATGTTTATTATTTTGGGGGGGATCTGGGATCCTGCATTGTTTGATTCAACATGTTTATTATTTTTGGGAGGTCTGGGACCTCAACAATGTTCTGGGGGGACCTGGGGTCCTGGCATTGGCTTTGGGAGCCATGAAGATGCTCCATTATACAGATGGTCCGGGACTATCTTTTGTGGGAGATTGGGATCTCAGATTGGGCAGATAGCATATAGATATAGTTAGCTTAATGTCCCATAGAAAGCTATACCTTGACCACACTTCATCTGCAGGGCAGAGGAAATCGTTCAACTGAGGTGCCATGCCAGTCCATGTGTCCAACAGTTCTGTCTGAACTTCTGCCAGTATGAAGTTTTATTCTGCATCTATCCATTCATCCTCCCACACAAACACAAACATACATACATTTCCACAGTCACTGCAGTCATGTAGTCCAACTCTGTCCATGGACTTTTTGATTTTGATGGAGAAGTTCCTATACTCAGGCTTGACGGTCCGGAGCAGTGTCACAGTTTTCAGGGAAGCATAGGCTTGCCTTGCATCGTCATCATATTCATCTCCTCTCCTCCACGAACCATTACCTGGAATATACAAAGTTAATTTGAAAGTGGAACCAATATTTATCATTCCATTATTGACTTAATGGTTCAACATGTCAAAGTAATTGCTTCTGAAAATGGTAAATCTGCAAACTTGGTAAACAAGAGCACTGCATGCAGAACATTATATGCTTGTCAACAAACTATTATGCAGCAACAAAAACCTTGTTTGAACTTTGACCTTAATTTGTGACCTTGGAGTTGGAGTAATGAAAATGTATGTGACACACAGCTATGTTTACATGCACAAAATTCTTAGACCGGATTGAAATGTTTTCATATTAAATAATTCAAATGTATCGTTACATGGGCAAAATCTGCAGCGGGCTTTGTTCTGAACAGAAGAACTGACATGCGCAGAGTGGTAAACTCTTTAAAGAAAACACAGAAGAAGAATCCAAAAAAGTTCAATCTGGTCCTCTGGACATTCAAAAAAACAAAAAACAAAACAAAGCAAGAAATATAGAAACGTTTCGTCTCTCATCCAAGAGACTTCCTCAGTATGAGGTGCTGTATTCAGCTCAGTCTCTTAAATAGCACCTTCTCAGAGTGGAACAACCAGTTTGCTGCTGACAACCAAAACCAGCTGATCACATGCTCAAGAAGGACCATCAGCCTAACAATGGATCATTAGCACACTGATGGCTGTTTACTATTCACAGGGGGTTGAGTGATACTAGCAATAACAGCAGTGTAAGAGGGGGACAGTTGAACCAGGAGGCCTCCACCCCTGTTTAATGACGATTTCTTTTCACAAAGATGGCCTCCATTACTCCTCTCTCAAACCATCGTTCCTCTCTGTCCAGGATGTGAACATCTTCATCCCTGAAAGAGTGACTGCTGGCCTGGAGATGAGTGCAGACCGCAGAATCCTGGCCTGATGATGTTGATCTTCTGTGCTGGGCCATCCTTTTGGCCAGTGGCTGTTTTGTTTCCCCGATGTAAGACTGATCACAGCCCTCCTGACACTGAACAGCATACACAATATTACTCTGTTTGTGCCAGGGGACTGGATCTTTGTGATGAACCAGTCTTTGCCGTAATGTTTTATGGGGTTTAATAGCCACTGGGACATTATGTTTAGAAAATAAACGTCTCAGTTTCTCTGATACTCCCTCTACATACGGAATGACCACCGGTCTGGATCTGGGTTCCTCCTTTTCACCTGATGGCTGACTGGAGTCCTGTTTGGGTTTCTTTTCTGCTTTCAGGAAGGCCCAGTTAGGATATCCACATTGCTGTAGAGACTGTCTTGTGTAGGATTTCTCCTTCTGCCTGGCTCCTGAGTTAGTGGGGATGCTGTCTGCTCTGTGATACAGAGTCCTGGTGACTCCTAACTTGTGCTCCAAAGAGTGATGGGAGTCAAACTGCAAATACTGGTCTGTGTGGGTGGGTTTGTGGTACACCTCGGTTTGCAAATGTCCTCTATCAGAGACTGAGACCTCACAGTCCAAGAAAGCCAACCTGCCATTTTTTGCATCTTTTCGTGTGAACTTTGATTTCATGACAACAGTCATTAAAGTGAAAACAGGATTTCATGGTAAAGCTGGCACCGTTTATTTTATTATTTTTTTAATCTTCAATGCAAAAAAATGAATAAATAAATTTTTATGACCGGCTCTGCTGGTCTCACACGATCCTCTCCTCCAAAGCCAGGACGGGCAGGTGTCATCTTCCCAGTTCCGAGCTCAGCTGGTGACTCGCAGAAGGCCGTTGACAGACCCCAGCCTCGTGTAATCATGAAGGCCCGACCCGCGCAGACAGGCGGACAGAGACAGGTCTGGGATGAACGGTGGAAGCAATTTTTAAAAACATTTTACACGTTAAAAAAAAACAACTTTTTTTTTTATTCGCTTCAGCAATTTTTAAAAACATTTTATATATAAAAGCAAAATATTATTTTTTTCTAAAATCCCTTCCACTGTCCATCCCAAATTGTCCAGTCCGCCTGACAGCCGGGCGGGATCGGGATTTGGCCTTCATGATTATGCGAGGTTGGGGTCTGGCAACAGCCTTCTGCGAGTCATGAGCTCCAGCTTCGCTGTGACCAGAGGAGCTCTGAGCACTCAAGGCTGGGATCCGGAACCCGAGTCGGGACAACGGAGGATCTTGCGTTGTGACCAGTGGAACTCAGAGCCGGGGAGATGACGCCCTGCCCGGCCTGGCGCTCCGAGGCTCCGGGGGGGAGAACGGGGATAGACCAGCAGAGCTCCATCCAGCTTGCTCTGAATTATGTCGTCGGCCACCAAGCACAAAAAACGCCAGCATGTCAGCATTAGACCAAGATGTTGTCATTATTGTTTTCAAAATCTTTAAAATAGGTCCAGCTGATGCTCCAATCTGAGAAATTGCAAATGGCGGATCATTGTTTTGAAAAGTTTCTGAAGGATCCAGTGACTCCGCCCCCAACCATTCAGTGACCAACAGCGTTCTGACGTCACGTTTTAGTACCTACTCGTTCGGGTTAGAACCACAAAGCCAAGGGTCCTGAAAATAGTAACAGGTTTTAAGTACCGGTACTAATGGAAAAGCCTCGGAACCGGGCCAAGTCGGGTCCAGTCGGCCCGTACCAGTACTAATGGAAAAGGGGCATTACTGAACCTAAGGACTATTTATTGCAGTTACTCAGTGATACCTGAAGTATTTGATATGAAGTATGTTCACTACACAGAGAAAAATAAACCTTCCTGTTAGATGCTAATGGAAGTTCAACATGTGGGTCTCATCTTTTCTGTGTCACAGCATCACATGTTGAGAGAACAAACAATCTCATTACCATAAACCCATCCAAGGTTGCAGAGTAATAATAATGTAACCATAGCCTTTAATAATTTAATAGTCATTTGGTTTTACCCAAAATGTCCGCACATCTACTACTCACATCATCTACTCTACATTCTCATCATCACACTCTTAATCTGGTTCTGACATATGGCATATAAATTATGTACTTATTAATATATCTTCAAAATCATGTTCTGTCTGACCATTTTAATAACATTTGCATTTACATTAATTGACTACAAAGCCACTGAGAGTAAATTTCATTTTAGCAGGTGTTTATCAGAAAATGCTGTAACCAAATTCAAACAATCTCTTCTATCAATGTTTTCCTCTGTCTTGCAGAGTAATGCATCAGAGAACAAATGGTCTTGTTGATTTTACAACTTCAGTGAAAATGTCACTTGATAAAATTGCACCACATAAAAAGAAAATAATCAATCAAAGGAAGTTGGCTCCTTGGTTCAATTCTCAGGCACATACTTTAAAACAGGCATCTAGAAAGCTGGACAGAAAATGGCGCTCTACTAACGTAGAACAATTTTTTTTATCTTGGAAAGATAGTCTGCTAACATACAAGAAAGCTCACTGTAAAGCTAGAACTCTTTAATAGATGAGAATAAAAATAACCCTAGTTTTCTGTTTAATACTATTGCTAGACTAATTAAAAGTCCCATTTCTGTTGAACCATGTATCCCTACAGCTACTGCATAAGCTGTGATGACTTCATGAGTTTCTTTATAAATACAATTATTCAATTAGAGAAAATGTTAAACCATCCTTCCTACTACTATCCCTGATTCCATGTTAGAGGATGCAACTTTAGAAATAGAACCTGATTTGTGTTTGGGCTGTTTTTGTCCTGTTAAGCTTTCTGAATTGTCAAAAAACAAACAAACAAACAAAAACAACAATAGGTTCATCCAAATCATCCACATGTCTGCTAGATCCCATCCCACCCAGACATATTTCCATTGATTGATATTCACATTTTGGATTTGCTTAATTTGTCTTTAATGAATGGTTACGTAACACAGCACTTTAAGGTTGCTGTAATTAAACCTTTACTTAAGAAGTCTGACCTTGATTCAGAAATTCTGGCCAACTATAGACCTATATCTAATCTAACATTCACCTAAAAAAATTCTAGAGAAAATAGTTGCAGGTCAGTTGCGTGGACGTCTACAAAGAAATAATCTGTTTGAAGAGTTTCAGTCAGGGTTTAGAGTTCATTATAGCACAGAAACAGCACTAGTAAAAGTAACTAATGATATTCTCATGGCCTCAGACAATGGACTTGTGTCTATACTGGTCCTGTTAGACCTCAGTGCTGCATTTGATACAGTTGATCACAATATTTTACTACAGAGGCTTGAATATGTTATTGGGATTACAGAAACAGCTTTAAAATGGTTTAAATCATATCTATCTGATAGATTCCAGTTTGTAAATATGAATAATGTCATAGTTCGCCCCTGGATCCCCCTCAGTTTCTGTTTATTTCATCCTGTTCGGTCCTGCACTGCCTATCACCCATTTTCTGCTCCTGTCACTCTCTCTCAGCAATCTGCACTCATCTGCTGCACCCTGTCTCTACAATCACCACTCACCTGCCACACCTGTTCAGCTCACTACTTAAGCTCCACTCTCACTCTCCGCAGTGCCAGATTATTGAAAGCTGTCCAGCCAGAAAATTCTCCAGCATTCTCCTTGACCTTGATTTCTGATCTTGAACCCTGCTTCGTCTCCTGACTCTTCGCTTTTGCCTTGCTCCTGACTGGACACCTCTACAATTTCTGACCGCGGTAATACGGCCCTTGCTTGCTCTCTCATGACCATGCTTTTTGGATCACCCTTCTCGGCATTTTTTGCTTTGCTTGTTTATGTCTTCCTGGCTCTTGTCCCCCTGCTACTAGTGATGAGCAAATGAAGCTTTTATGAAGCACTGAACCAGTTGGGCCAATTGTTTCAAAAATGGGTTCATTTGTTGAAGCTTCAATTACAGTGACCTCTTGTGGCATGTAATTTGCAATGCTGCTGTCAAATTAGGTGTTATGCTTTTGGTGGCGCACACCAAGAACTTCAATGGCTAGTGTTAAAGAAACTACTTTACTGTGGTAAAATCAGATTTTTTTTTTTAAATTCATCAACTTTCCATGTTGTCTGGTCTGAAAATTCTGAAAATTTATTCATGCTTACAT